CCAAATAATCCGTAACATTATGAATTCGTCTCTTCAAACACACTAAAAGGACACTAGACATGATTGGAAGGACGAGAAGAAAAGGCCATTTCAGGTTTCATATCAACAATTAATCTTCATGAATACAATCTTCTCTTTTACCACAAATTACTCTTCCTTGACGCAATATGTCAGCGTTGTTCTTTCGCTAATAATAGAAGGTAAAATCGTCGTTTACTAAGACGTAACTGATCACCTCGTCCTTTTTGACCACGTATTAGTGTCAGTAGAACGTCATTTTATTAATGATATTATTATTGCTGTCATCAATATCCAGTTGTCTTAGTGTCACCATTTTAACTCTGACAAAACCACCAATATTCAGTGGTTGACATTTTGAATATAAAACAGCATCTTCATACATTTGGTTGTCTTGATAAATTTCGATAAAAAAGGAAGATGCAACTTGCAGTATTCAATGATATCATTCCATTTCACAGGTTCTAATCATCTGCAGGCTACCTTAAATTACAATGGTTATATAGAGGATAATAACATATTTTAATGTTTAATTGGTAGTAGAGGAGAAATACTTTAAAACTGAAGCGTCCAAAATCTAAGCATTACAATTTTTAGTTTAAGTTTTCATCATCAATTTATACGCCTTGTGCGTCAGTGGCACAGTGGTTAGGACTTTCGCCGACTATGCACATGGTTCGAGGTTCGATCCCCGCCGACGCACACCTGATATCTGTGGTTGGCCTACAAAATTTGGGCTACCGATATCACATGCTGAAAATTTCATACTTGAACCAAAAATACAGTGTGGAATCAAGCTGCAATCTTTTAAAATAAAATAAAAAGAGGGAGGGGGAGGGGTAAAACAGAAAAAATTAACGGATAGTGTTAGCTTGTAGATTCACATAGCAACTCAATAAACAAAAGCAATTACACTTTATAAGAAGATTTGTTGAGCAAGATGGCATCACCGAATTAGATGACTAATTAATATAATCAAAATCAAAATTCAGTTACCAAGGGAGTGAGAGGTTAATAACACACTCTCTCTGTATACATAAGTCTAGTTTGAATCATTTGATTGCGATCGCTTCGGAAAGTTGTAGCGTATTTGGTGTTCTTTGTCAATTTATTATTTTAAAGGACTTAGAGATTTCTACTAGATGTCCAGTATCATCTGGTAATTGTACTCTTTGAATATTTGCTTTCTTTCAAGCACAGATTTCTAGGAGTATTGCATAGAGGATTTCATCACGAGCTGACATCAGTTAGAGAAACACTGGAAAACCTGGGAGTACTGGACAGCTATTTCGTCCTAGTTTGGGACTCTTCATCAGTACGCGCCCACCAGGCCTTGTAACCAGAAGTCCCTGGGTTCGAATCCCCGGCGGTGGGTGCGTACTGATGAAGAGTCCAAAACTAGGACGAGACAGCTGTCCAGTACTTCCAGGTTTTCCAGTGTTTCTCTAACTGATGTCAGCTCGTGATGAAATCCTCTATGCAATCAAACAAAATCCTACAAACCAATACTTCTAGGAATGTGTTCAGAAAACTGGATAGAAACCCTTCTTTCTGTCCTTTCAATGTACTTGCTCCCGCAAGTGCACGTAAATTCATAAACGCATTTGGAGGTGACATCAGCAGGGTATTTCTCCAGTTTCGGGCAGCTTATAGAAGAATTGATGCTGTATAATGTTATCAGTTTAGCTTCAGGCAAGCTTCTTTTTCTGACATCTTTTGTCATTTGTCAGTCTTTCGTGACACTGCATCTCCTTTGAATGGGAGACAAATAAACACTCCCTTCTTTTCTACAGTTGGATGTTTTTTGTTCTTATGTTTTTCTCTGCTATACTTTTGCATAGGTGTGCAGCTGATGAGAACCCGTGAAATAGAATGATATCATTGAATACTGCAAATTTTGTCTTCCTTTTTTATCGAAAAATAGCACCTCTCTCCTTGCAGTTTTGTGTAGAATCAGAGGAATGTTACTAACGAAGGATTAAGTAACAGTTATTTGCAGTCCATTTTACTTTAATTTCCTTCATCTTGATTTCAAAAAGATTTGATCGGATATTTTGAAAGTTACTATCTCTCATCTGCTAGTGGCATGACATATATCATTCGTTAAGAAATAGTAATATGAGGTTTTCATTATTCATTTTCAAATACATAAAACGAAGATATTCACTGTCAGAAATAAGTGAGATTTCAATTACAACAGGTGAGTGAAAGCTTCTTATTGTGGATTAACAAAAATCTGGTGTTTATTCACCAACTAAGACTCCTGTTTACCATGGAAAATATAAATTACTTAGGAGCCAATAAAGAAACATTTATCATTTCCTTAAAAGTTCAAATTCCACCAGTCCATTTTTTCTAATTTCACGAAGAAGTCTCCAGAGTTTCGGATACACTGGTAACAGGTGTAGAGACTTGGGAGATAAGAAATATAATGTAGTTTGTGCAGTCAAACAACCTAGACTGGTACTAAAACATTAAGTAGACTAGACAGTACTTTAGGGAGAAAAATCAAAGAATGTAGTTTGTCGGAGACTCTGGTTGATTCTCCCACCTGATTAGGGATGAACAGATGAGATCGTTTTCAAAAGAGTTATTTCAAATTCAAATGGACAGTAGACTAACGTAAATTGAATACCAGGTTTTCCGCGTACTCTAGAAAAGAACTAAATCTTAAATAATTTCCTTAAACAATATTCAAGATTTGAGGGATTCGATTAGGCAGCTTAGCCATATGAAATGCTGTCGTCTAAATTGCTTACACGTAATCAATAAATGACCAGGCAAACATCTCTTTGTAGGGGTTTCAATTTCACATCGTTTATAGAAGGTTTCGTTGTTGTTCATTCTTAGTGTTGCTGAGTGTTTCTAGTCCGACAATATACAAGCACACTAGCTTAGAAAGTGATCTATTTTCAACAACAAGATCTCCACATCACTACATGAGACCTAACTGCCAGTCATTCAGAAGTCACACTAGACAATTCTGTCCATCAGTAAAATAACCTAAATCAAACTTGAAAGAACTCTCAGTTAAGCGTTTAGTATCCGAATGGCAAAGAGTGTTGCAGTTTGACATTTAGATTTGTGATAAAACAATTTCCAAATAATTTTAGGCAGTCAATGTAGACTATCGAGGGTTTGTACTGTCCAGATGCCACTTGACTGTAAATTAACATGTATGTTATTTACTTGGGGGGGTGGGGCATATTTCCATCCCACTTGTATAGCTAACTGTTTTTCTCACCAAAGTCCATTTTTCGAACTATGCATTTCATTGGTCGCGGATACATCTAAATCAATTGTATAAATATTTATCAAATTCTGCTTCATGATGGTTTCGTCGGGTGTGCGTGTATGTGGGTTCAAGTATGAATTTTCTATATTTAGCGGTTAGGATTCCTGACTTTCACCCAGGCAGCCCAAGTTAGACTCCCGGCACGGGAGCGCAGTGTTTAGGACGCACGCCGACCATGCACATGGTTCGGGGTTCAATCTCTTGCCGACACACACCTGATATCAATGGTCAGCCTGCAAAATTTGGGCTACCGATATCACATGCTGAAAATTCCATACTTGTATCAAAAGTACCGCGTGGTTTCAAGCAATAATCAAAATAAAAAATAAATAAAATTTTTGTGACAAAGTAGACGATATAATTCTGTGATAGTTCGTGTGTTTATTTTTCACACTTGTAGTTCATTGTGTTTATGAAATCAAAGTCACTTGTTGATATTTTGATTATGTTTACATGATGTTATAAATGACGTATGAAGATCTTCGTAGCGGTTAAGTGTGGTACAAATTCCACCTTACTATTCGTGTAGGTGGTTGAATGATTCCTCTACTCGAAAATACACATACACAATGTAATTATTTTGAAAAACAACTTAATGAGTAAACTTTATGATAAGCGTTATAGAATTATATACTGCTATTTTTTAGTAAACAGCCTAGTGTTCTGGAGATAGCCATCCAAGGTTGTGTAGTACCACGAAGTTCTTGATATTTACACTTGTAAATCATCATCTCACTGTCAAATGTTCTACTTGATACTTCAGTATTCAGGTTTGACCACGAGCTGACATAAGTCAGTGGAGTATTGGAAAACCAGCTAGGAGTACTGAACGGGTTTCTCGTTCAGGTTTCTCACTCTTTATCAGTACACCCCACTGTCGTTAAAGTCCAGTAAGTACACTTTGGTTACAAGGCGGATATACAGATGATTCATCAGCCACTGAGATACGATCCACTGGCCTATGAATTCCAACTTCTGCATATTTGAAATATGTATAGCTCAACAGCCAGTTAGTGGCACACACGTGCAGCTGTCTGCCTAAGTAACTTTGCGGACCTGGCTGGTCACGACTTCACACAAGAACTTCAGGGAACTTCCTGTATGGCACCAGTCACCAATAAGGCATAAGATTAATTTTCAAGTGTTGGTTCTCGGGAATTCTAATCTCTGTACCTTTTCATTGGATAGATCTTTTAAGTGGTTAGTCATGATGTTTTGCAATGAACACATCATGCAACGAATGACTAGTTTGAATGTCTACTGTAGGGCGAATTTCAAAGATGGATGTCAACTGTTGAATGAGAGGAAAATTTCATCAAGTACTACATCCTTATGCCAGACAACAAACGTGTCATATACATTTCTTCTGCAGATATAAAAGCAACCAATACTTTGACTAAACTGTACGTTGAATGTGCACTCGAATGAGAGTCCTCTACAGCAGGATGCTGGTTGTCCTAGGTCTAAATTATGTGTCAAGGCAGTGCATTACTGCTTTCCCATTTCGGTCTCGCTGTCAGCATTATCATCGCTCATACCACTTTGACGACGAGTTACCAGTCACATTAACCCATATCAATCAATATCTGTGGACGAACCAATCAACCACATTACAATTCAAGTTGAATGAAGGTTATTCAAACCTTTAATCCCGTGATATTGCAAGGTAATTAACATTGGCTACCATAGTTATTTAACGGCTTACTATCCTGTGTTGAAAACACTTAGAAAATTTCATAGAATGAATTTCAAACATCTTTTCATATCATCATGTGACTTATTATTCATTTATAATACTCTGTTTTACTTAAGATGTAACCATCACGCTTTAAGAGGTGAAATGTTTGGTTTACTTCAAAAGCTTTGGATTAATACTGGAAGCATTGAATATATGGTATTTATTCATTTCACCATCAGAATATGTGAACAGCAAAGAAATCAGGCAAGAATATATTCTGCTTAAAGAGTGGACGAAGCGAAAACTCACTCAGCCTACTGGAAATCTTGTTTCGTTGACTGCATAGCGGTAAACAATCGGCGATAATTATTAGCTTACAGTATTCATCACTCAACATCGAATGCTTACCTTCACCGTCTAAATATAATCGTCAAGCTGTAGTTTCACCGTCAGGCACGGACGCCATTCGACAATATCCCTTTTACAAGCAATGCAATCATCATCACTGCACTACGGTTCTGATGCCAAATAAACTTCGTATTTAGGATGAACAATTTTATGTTTTGATTTGTGTTTTTGGTTCAAGCGGAACAATGGAGTTGTGGGTATAAGAACTTGAGTTATTTACAGCATACATTACGTATGCGTCAACATCCCTTCTGTCCCTAAAAATATGTTTTCAATACAGATCAAATTAACAGATAACATATATATCAACCATATTAATGGTGTACACTTCTCAAGTAATCTTTGTAGATTGAGTCAAATTAAGACGAATGTTGATGAATTAGTGTTCATGTACTGATAAATGATCAAACATGCTCATTATAAGTTTTAAAAGACTGAAACTAGTGAATAAAGAATACTCTTTTCGATAACTCCTTCTTCATCAGCTTCTACAGATATATACATATATAATAACTAGAAAATTATTGTTATCAACAATATTAATGTTCCTTTAAATAACACTGAATCAATAATAATCACAGTGATAAGTGTTCATTTTTACAAAGTTTCAACAAAAGAGAGTCATCACTTCGTCATCCATAAGAAACTCTAATTCCATCTAACTGTTCTGACTTTGTTGATTTTGAAGAAAAAATCTCTTCAATTTCTATGCCAGAATAAGCAACTGCTGCACAAAGATACAACGTTTCAACACCAATTATGAACGCCTGCAGTAGAGTTGTAGCATTCCAGTGAAATCGAAATAATTGTACTGTGACGAATATTATCTATGAATCCAGAAAATTACATTGGAAAACAAAAATGATGAAGGTTTTATGTCGGGGTTAAATTCGGCAAAAATCTATTCCATACAAGTATATACTCAGATAGTTTGCACGAAAGGGGTGAATGAATCTATCAGTCAATCAGTTTTCGTGTCATGAAATCTTTATTTTAGTGTAACTTGTGATTGTTTGATTAAAAGGTGGACAGTCATTTAAAACAAGCTACGAATTCGCTTAGGATATCACTAAAAAACATACAGTGATACTGTGGTGATGAAGATTATCTATTATTGGGTTGTTTTGACATCCATTGTTGTTTGTTTTTATTTACCAGAATGATAATAATGCAATTCAAATGATTCTAAAACAATTAGTCCCTTTTATAAATTTGGATAGCGTTATTAGAAGATGGAGATTTCTGAAAAGCCGTGTGATGTATTTGCGCTATACATTTCGAACAATCTGATCCCTCACACATCTACTTGTCAAGTCGGTATATATATATGAAAAAATGAAGGGCAATTAAATTAAACAAAGTGACAAAAAAGGTTTAAGAATGGTTAATCAAATAGGGATTACCAAGGTAGTTTAAGCGTATTAATAAACTGATTTTGAATACACAGAGGGGGCTTAGGTTTATGAATAGATTTAGCCTCAGTGTATTTCAATAAGAGCCCTTGAACATTTTTATAGATGACTTTAAAGACTGTGTTAACATCAATCTTATGGTTCATCTCGATTAGATGTTTGCCTATAGTCTGACATCTGCGTGTATTGGTTTTCCACTATTCATTTGTTTTTCTAACCATTTTGGGATATGCTCTTCCACCCTGATATGAAAAGCACGATTACTCCTCCCTATGCATGTGTACACACACACACACACACGAAAGTTGGTAAATAGTATGGGATGTGACATGATTATTTGTGCATTTTGAGGTTTGCAGTAGAGCATATTTTTCGTTTTTTCGATAACTGGGAATAAAAAGACGTTTGCAGCGAAGAAAATTATCTTTTCGACGAAAACATCAACTAGGCTGTACATTCATGTATTTATAATAAATAGGTAGGAAAGTTCCAGAATAACTTCTGTTCAAAGGTCAAATTAATAGAACTACAATTCGGAATGAAAATGCCATAATAAACAGGGGGACGAATAAAGCTGAGACAAAGTAGCATCATAATTACTGAGAAGATTGATATTGATTGTGTAATTGGGGGTTGAAAATGTAGAAATAACAACTATAGACAGGCCTTTTGGATCAAAAATCCAGTGGGATCATGACTAATGTGACGAATAATCGTTTGTGCAACCATGGATTAAATATGTAGAAATAATAAAATAACAAAATAGACAGGAAGTTCGGAAATGAAAATATGGTAGTGTAAATAGGGATTAAGAAAAACTTAAAAATAACATCAATAAACGGGAAGTTTAGATAAGAAGGGCGATGGAATAGTCACTACTAAAAGAATTACTTGTTTGTGATGGCCACGGTAGGGACAAGGGTTGAACGTAATTACATAGCGTGGGTATGAGCTTTTGGATGTTTATTATGGCATTTTAATGATTATGTTTGTTATGGCATTTTAATTCCTAATTGTAATTCTATTAATCTGACCCTTGACCAGAAATTATTCTGGAACTTTCCTATGCATTTATTATAAATACACGAATGTAGAGCTATCTAGTTGATGATTTCGTCGAAAAGAAAATTTTCTTCGCTGCAACTGTCTTTTTATTCCCTATGATCAAATGTGTATTTTTCGATAATCACAAGTCGGTTTGCATAATGGGTTCTATGGATGATCGAATTCAACCTTTGTCTCAAAATCCTACTGCTTATTTCCATGTTAAATGGTAATTTGATGAAGACATTTTTCTTAGGGGCTGTATGGATTGTAGGTTTAAAGACTAATTGACTTCTTCACCTGTTTACAAATTTTAAAGGATATCCGTTTTCAACAAGAATATCCATCAATATTTCATTTTCTTTCTCTATAACATCAGCTGTGCAAATATGTTGAATCCTCTTAAATAGACATTTTGGCAAGCCTCTCTTGTACTATAATGGAGAGAAACTGTGAAAATTAAGGTATTGCTCTGTCCAAGTGGGCATTCTGGATTACCAAACGTTGTGTTAATCATTCTTAAAACTTTTTTGTCACTTTGTTTAATTTAATTGCCCTTCATTTTTTTCATATATATATATCGACTTGACAAGTAGATGTGTGAGGGATCAGATTGTTCGAAATGTATAGCGTAAATACATCACACGGCTTTTCAGATAATCTCCATCTTCTAAGAACAAATAATTTCGCCAAATACGAATTCTTGACTTCTGTCCTCTATGTGGTGTTCTCCCATTTTCTGACATTCCGTTATTGCGAATTACAATTGTAAAGATTAGTATAGAATTTTGATGTCCCTATGGAATTAAAGAATCTTGAAAAGTATCCTAGAAACAGTTCACCGCGGGAAATTACTGATTACCTTGAATACTTTGATGAACAGTGTTTATCAGGAAATATTCGAGATGAAAACATTTCAGCTGATTTTATTTCTCTGATTGGGCTAGATGTATAGAGACTACCGAAAACTCTCTCTCATTTTCAGATAAACCAATTTCACTTCCATCTCACAAGTTCCGTGGACTTCAAGTTGATCAATTCTGTATGCAGTTCAATAAGCTTGTTCCTGCTCCTAACTCGAGAAATTCAACACTTCATTCTTTGGCTTCATACTCAACTATGTGATCGTCTAATTGCTAGGGTTAATATTCCAAAGGTAGAGACGGATCTGGTTCGAATTCATTTATGTTTTCATTTATCACTGTCTGATGTGATGCTGTCCAAAGTTGATAATGCAGGTGTTCGTAGGAAGAAATCCGAAGTATAATCCATAATTGATGAATACAGTATTATTCACTGATCAGGAGTCGAGGAAAAATTATTGCTCAGAACCACATCAAAGTGCTTACATAACTTTCGAATATGAAACGTGAAAATGAAAAACTAATTGAGAAACTGAACAATCTTGAAAATCAGTCAGCAAATACTGTTCAAGTTTCAGTCACTGAATGAAATTTACAAACTGCGAAAACTCGTGTGAGAAGAGTTCAAATAGATTGTGAAAACTGTCTGATGCGTACACTAGCTGTTACATGTAACACATCGTCAATCGGACCTCGAAGATGATCCTGTTCACACCAGAAATACAGATCAGGTAAAAATTCATGAAATAGTGTAGAAGTAAACACAATTGATTTAAATGAAAATACTATTTCAGAGCTGATTTAAAGATCCGAGAGGCTTGAAGACGAAATCAGGGTGCACTATAAACACGCAGACATGATGGTTGTGCTGTGTAAATGTTCATTTCTGCTCTTTTCTATTTATTGCATATACACAATATAAATAATCCTGTGAGAATGAGAATTTGTATTTGTTGTCATTCCCTCATTGTTATTCGGTCAACTGGTATTCAGTTATTGCAGTTTACAATTTAGAAAATCGGTATCACAGCTTGACAGTTGGCATTAATCAATTTTATTTACTCCAGAATGGAAGAAGAAGAATATACTGACGTTTCACTACCTGTAAATTGTTTATAGAGAAGACTAGATATCTAACCCTACTCAAAGACGTCCTCTGCATTCTCTAACCTCTTGAAGCAGATTCTGATGTGTGGATTATCACTTCCGAATGATGAGTTCACACTCATCTTATTGCTCAATTCTTTATGAATAAATAAGAATGAATAGTCCCAGTGATAATTAAACCAATAATCTGGGTACGTTATGACGCTGATACATTCGTAATAGTCAAAAGAAATGAATACACCTACAAATCAATCAACGACATATTTGCAGACATTGAAATGACTGGAGTAGAAGAATCAGACAACGAAAATTCCATTCTTAGATGGAAGTCTCTCAAAGCCAGAATTGGAAAAGCAAGACAAGCTTTCATTACTCTTAAGTCTGTGTGGAGGTCGACAGCCCCACTCACCATCAAAAATAAGATCCAGATTTTCAACTCCAATGTGAAGTCAGTCAGTGCTACTTACTGTACGGATCAGAGACTTGGTCAGCATGTCATAAAGAGCATCTCAAACAAACTTCGGACCGTCATTAACAGTTGTCTTCGCTCAATACTCAAGATCAAATGGCCGGCCAGAAAAGATCAGCAACAGGGATCTCTGGCAATGAGCGAACCAACACAGCAGGAACCGATTGTGAAACAAATAGGCAGGAAGAAATGGAGGTGGATTGGATTGGCCATACGCTGAGGAAACCAGCAAGTGACATCACTAGACAAGCCATCGCTCGAGTGGAACCCGAAAGGGAAGCGGCGAGTTGGACGTCAATGCAAGAGTGACTTGGAGGAGGTCATGTGAAGAGGAGATGAATGCATGTGGGTAGACGTGGAGCGGAGTGAAAAAGTTGGCAGAAAACCGAAGGTAATAGAGACGCGCGGCTGAAGCCCTGTGTTCCTCTAGGAATTAAAGGATATAATAATAAATAATAATAAGATGGATGTTTCAATAAAGACAACTAACACAAGAAATTCGGAAACACAATTATACAGAATAGGAACACACATGCAGGTCAAATACTCAATTATACCAGCAGCAATGCAAATGACTCATTAAAAAGAAACTCTATGCAAACACTGTTTCAAAGAGTTCACACATATTGTATCATTGCAGTGCTGAAGTGAACAGAAGAGAAATACCCACTGACTATCTTAAAGCAGAATAGATACTCATACGATGTCATCAAACAATATTTGAACTTCAGTCGAAATACAAAAAAAACACCCTCATAACCACAAGAAAATTGATCCTACTATTATATATAAAGAAGAATATTTCTGAAATAACGACCAGAATACTGAGACAATTTGAACCAGACATGCAACACAAACTAACGAAACCATTTCATTCAATATTTCACACACCAAAAGATTGTCCAGCAGCAAAAGAAGACAAGGCGAATACATTTACAAAATAAATTGCATCAACTTCGATAAACAACACATTGGTTAAAGTGGATGTCCACTTCGAATCAGAATCCAAGAAGATAAGCTCACCGTGAGATGACAAGATATTTACTCTTTCATATCGACGATGCATTCAGACAATTATGGACGTCATTTTGATTGGGAGAATGTAGAAATTTTAAACAAAGGAAATACAAAAAGTAATCTCAGTGAATTTCTAGAAGCCTGGTACTCAGATGAATCAGCGATTAACAGACACATCACTTCCTGTAGATCTAACTTACTAACTAATGAAGAATAAATCACATGACAAAAAAGTTTAAATTTCAAGTCAATAAAAATGATCAATAAAGATGTTTGTTAACAAACAATGACGACAGAGGTTGTCAGGTGATACAGTCATATCATCATTCATGGAGTATTCAAAAAACGTTCACTGAAGATGCTGTCTAAAAGGGGGACAATGAAAGCTTTACAGCTAAGTGAATCAGCTCAGAGAACACAATCAAATTAAAATCACCTACTTGAGCTACAAATCTTCTATGTACAGACTGCAGTCACTATTTTCATGTGGATTTTAAGTCACTGTTCTGCCCAGCTTCTCATATGATAACGTGCTTGATACTTTGAAATTTTTATGAATTCATCACCAGATTCACTGTTGGAGGTTAACTACGAGGTCGGAGGGCAATATCACGCTTTTTGGAACGTTTACGCAATCAGTTTCCGTTTTAAACCAACTACTCTTCCCTATCTGCCTATCCCACTAATGAAATTAACAATAAATGTTAACAGGAATATTTTCAATGATTGGTTTGTAAGGATTAGATTTGTTTTTACGAGTTGACCACGGATTGGTTCTAAAACTAATAAAAATATGCCGATGAATCATATTCATGTCAGTTTATCTTATGTGTTAGTTTATATTCTCCAGCATTTGATTCATATTCGATTCGGTGAGTTTTTACTTGAATGGATGAATCGGTCTATGGTTTTGAATAGAAAATACTCTAAGATTTGTCTAGGTCTTCACTGTGCAGCGGTAGAACATAAAGCGTCTTTTATCAAAACGACGTACACTTGTAATGGTTGAGGACAAGAGTATTCGGCAACAAAATTACTTGTTGACAACTTCGTGTACAGATTAAGTGAAATACGTATGCCGTATAGCAAAATGACAATCTGCACATCTCATCGATGTTCGGCTACTTTCGTATTCAGTATCGGGCTTCTTTGTCCTTCTTGCATGTTTTCTATGTTCTTTCGTAATCATCGTATCTTTGCATTAAGATTTCTGTTTACAAATTTTGCTTCTTTTGTCCCCATCCTGTTCCTTCTATATCACTTAAAAGTAATCTTTCATTCCTCTTCTTTGCAATTTAATCGGTCTGTCCACCACTCAAGAACCTTGCAGAGGCCGTCATATTCTGTATACTACTCACAAACTCTTTTTAGTAGCACGCACGCTACAAAAGAATGTAATACTTACTTAGCAAACTATAAGTAGAAATACTGAGGAGTGTTAAACACTGGCTGTTAAACTACTTCACCAAAAACTTACAGTCGCTATTGCCAGAGTAATAATCACGCCAACCGCTAGTCTGACTTCAATCTGTGAAGAAGAAACAAACAGTACTGAACTCGCTAGAGTCACAGATGAACATCAAATAAGACAGAATGATAAGAATAATAAAATTCTGTGTGATGTTGAGTGTTAAAATATATTACTGACTGAAAACTATTCACGTCAAACAGTAGTAATGCTTGGTAGGCAGACTGAAGTGATACAGAAGATACAGGATATTCGTCTTTCTCGTTTGTCATCAGGCTCATTAACTGTGTATCACTTTCTTCGACTCAGCTCAGGGGGCTTAATGAATTGATACTATGCAAATTCTGGCTAGCTAGTTGGACAGCTGGCAATTTCTGGGTCAACTAATCTAGATTTTACTATATCTTTGTGCTCTGCTAGTCTGATTGACCAGGTCTACTATTTTGACCTATGTATTTCACCTGATAATCATTCCGAGAGGGTGTGTGAAAAACCAAAGTGTTATGTTTAATGGGCTTCTCATGATCCTCTAACGGACAAAGTTTGTTCCTGATTGATTCTGTGGGCTTGAATGCCAGCCACTTTTATTCCTGTTGTTAAGAATCCTCCGTTAGGTTTCTGAGGTTCCTTCTTTGTATGGAAGTTCTACTGATGATTTAAATTACTTATGACTGATGCCATTATTCTATGCATGTTTGTAATGTGTCACCACTATTATTATAAATATCATTATCACTGCATATTACTGATCCTAGTTTTATTTTTATATTTCTCTACACAATCCTTATTAATCTATTAATGTACTTATTAGGTTTTTAAGCTTTTCTTACATACCCCACTTTCTATTTTGAATTTTCCTTGGTACTACTTGGTTTTGCGTCCTACTACTTAAACATTTCACCAGCCTTGTTTTTGCTGACATCGGTTGGGATGAATGCGTAGGTTTTCTGTAATTACTGGCGTTTTAATTCCATCTTCCTTTTTATGCTACAATATAACATTAGAAGTTCTCATCCCTGACTTTCCAATACATAAATATTATTCAAGTATCGGTTTCTAGGGATTTGATTGGTTACAGGATTTCATCATGTGCTGACATTGGTCAGAGAATCATTGGAAAACCAGCTGGGAGTACTGGACAGCTGTTTCCCCTGTCCTAGTTTGGGACTCTTCAGCAGTACGCACCCACCGGAGTTCGAACGCAGGACCTTCTGGTCACAAGGTGAGCTCATAGACCATTGAGCCACTGGGACCCAATCCAATGGCCAGTTCATGAATTCTAAATTCTGCCAATTCACGACATAGCGCGACTGCTAGCTATGGTTCACGAGCTCTCCTTGTGACCAGGAGGTCCTGGGTTCGAACCCCGGTGGGTACGTGCTGCTGAACTAGGACAGAGGAAACAGCTGTCCAGTACTCCCAGCTGGTTTTCCAATGATTCTCTAGCCAATATCAGCTCATGATGAAATCTTCTAACCAACATAAATAATATTGTTTCACTGTGTGATACATCTACTATTTAAGAGTTAGTTGGTAGGGATTTGATGTATTTCAAGTCCGACCACCGACTGATGTCATTTACAGAACCATTGAAAAGTAGCAAGGAATACTGAAGAGCTGTTTCTGTATATCTTTATTTGTGATAAACAAATTAATATGGAATAACATACTACCACAGTGCCCAAGCTTTTCACGTGTATTAGGCTGTGTGATGTTATTTATGCATGTTGAAAAAGTTGAACGAAAACTCAATTCTTAAAACTACAATTGTGGGAATAAATTGTTATTTCCCGCTATAGAACCGTTTTATGGCACTGTGTACTGGAAATGTTTTGGGACCAGTCTTTACAGTGGAATCATAACCGCATGTTATACAACACTAGAAATTATACAGTTGAATTCATGGAGATGCTATTCGATGCCAAAAGGCCATTATGTAAAGATGTAGAATGCATGATCAAGTTAACTTTCATTTATCGTTCTCAATTTATTTATTAAGCTCATAACAAACTATCAATCAATAATTTAGTGGCGCAAATGGCCTAAATTGTATTTCTGAAGTCTTTCAAAGTGTTTTTCTTTGTGAAATTAACTTTGGAAAGGAATTTCTCAATTCCCAGATTATGACTGAGTCTATACTAGAAATTACCTGGAGTTCTAATGAGAAGTCGTGACTAGTGGGTTCCACCAAGTTAGGCAAGAGAACACTCACTTGCCTAAGACATTGGCTAGGGGTTTAGCTATATATAAGTCTTGAGTCGGCAGGAGTTAGAATCGATGAAACAACGAGCAGCGTACCATTTGCTGAACAGTCTGCTAGCTCATCTTTCACGGGAATGTCCTCGGTTCGAATCGTGGTGTATGCGTACTGCGGAAAAGTCAAAAACTAGGATGGAAAAACTGTCCAGTACTTCCTCACTTCCAAGTGGTTCTCTGACTGATGTCAGCTAATGATCAAACCTGTAACCAATAAAATTCCTGGAGACCAAGAGTTGGCAGTTGTGATGCATGGACTATTTTTCGAGTAATTAGGGTTTTTACTATTATCCAAACTTTCTGGCACGAGACATTTTGACATTGGGTAGCTTGAAATATTATAAGAGAGATTTGATTTCCTTTGGTTACTATGAAATACTGAGCGCTGAATTAGCAGCGTTATTATGTCGAATTCTGTCACTTCCGTGATTATAGGGATCTGTGTCACAAAGCAATATACATATAGTCTCAATCATCAGTAGCCCGTCTTGATTTTCGCCAGGTAGAAGTCACCTAGACGTCAAGTTAGACAAATGCATTTTGATTATTTTGGACTACAGGACTTGTGGGTATTTAGGATTAATTTCAGTTGTTGGATCTTCGTCCCGATCTGACTTCAGTTAAAAAGAGATCATTGAAAACCACCAAGGAGCATTAGACAACTGTTTCGTCCTATTCTTAGGTACCCGGGGATTGAACCTGAGACCTTCCTTCACATAACGAGATCAATCTGGTTGATTATTCAGTCACTTGGGTTAGAATTCAATGATCCCTGAATTCTAACTTCCTCAACTCATGATATATTGCTGGTGATTGTTAAAAGACTGTACCCAACTGAAAAACTCCCAGCAGCTTTCTCTGTTATCATATTGATTAAACTAAAATGTACTTACAGATATAACAGGAATAAATAGGACGCATATTCCAACGACTATAATTACCAAAGATACTGACATCATTATGATCAAAGCCACTTTTTTCACTGCCTTTGTCCTGACTCCGAGAATTAATGCTACTGCTGCAATCGCAGTTGCCACAACAAAGACAAGTGGTAGATACTTGATTGGAATATAGGCACATAATGTTGCAACAACTTCAGTGTATAGAAGAATCTGTAGCAGAGGAAACAACATTTTTTTCATTGTTCTAATGAGGTACATGTAAAAGATCTGAAAAAAACATTTAATCTGTAATAAATGGTGGACACATGGAACCACTTCAATGACCATGACCACTTCAATGTGTATTTACCGATTTACTTGCTCGTGTGGAGCAAAGTATATCGGCCTTAAGCAAAGACAAGTCCAAAAACGTATTCTGAACCATTGTCCAGCTTGGTTAACCAGAGGAGAAAAGAAGAATAGTAGCAGCTCTATCCTCGAACACCTTGTCATCTCCGGATATCGAGCACCCCCGCATGAATGCTTCACAGTGCTATACAGAGTCCCTCAATATCGTAGAAAGGGAATTCGCATACGCCATATGTAGACATCTGAAGCATTAGCTATTCGGGATCTGAAACCGGATCCCTGCATTCAAAAGCGATACATACATTCTCTTGCCCATGGCCAGAGTAAAGTTCTTAATACAGTTCTGCTTCTTTCTTTTATTGTGTAAGTCCACTATTATTATTGTTAATACTATTGTTTTATTATCATTATTATTCCCATCATCCACATTTTATTACCACTCTATTACTGTTTATTAATAAAATTGCTTTTTTATACAGATTTTATATAAAAACACTTTATCGCCTTTACACTAGTTCCAGTCCATTCCACACGAGCTTATCGATTAGTCATTATCTCACACTTACTACGTCATGGCAACTTCTGCCTCTTTTCTAACTTACAGTTAGTCATCCCTTCTAGGTTACACCTAACATTATGTAATACATTTAATTGAATTTCAGAATTTCCCGTCTATTGATTAGACCGAAGTGCTCGGTCTCAGGTTGACATGTCGGCTTCTTGTGCAGATGCTTCGACGACGTCAGGGCATTCAATTAGAGGTTAACTGGTGGATGGTGACTAGCAGTGGAATCCAGGATGCGCATTTCGTCCTATTTGGGACTCGGCATCTGGATGCACCTTGGTTCCAGCCTCGGTGGGAACATCATCACTCACTGAGAAATGCAGGCACATCCAGATGACGAGTCCCAAATAGGACGAAATGCGCTCTATCCTGGATTCCACTGCTAGTCACCATCCACCAATTAAGTTATGTAATACATTTTTCGAGGATAAAGTTTACCAGTATCTCATTGGTCTAAAGATTTCTTTGTTAAATATAATTACAAAATATTGTAAAATGGGAGACAATGGTGGTGGTTGGTCGTAATACATTTGTAGAGTGTGGGGTAGGCAAATTGACAAGTTGGTTCAAGGTTTTAAAAGGTGTCAGGTGAGTGAGTGGATAGTACAAAGTGGTCTGTATTAAACAGGAGATAGTGAGACTGCAATGGGAGGTTCATCATGAAATAACGAATATGTGAAATGAAACAGGTGGAGGCATATATTGAGAAGACAGATAATATCACTAATAATAAGCCCGGATATTATAAATGAAAAATTCAATAGTATTGAGGAAATGTTTGCATGAAGAGTATAAATTATGACGAATAATAATAATAACTGTAATAATAATATTTGTAATGATTAGAAAAGGAAAATAAACCAGGAGAGTTAAGGGGAAGGAGCACTCTTGGTGAGAAGAATCATCAGTCCAAGTTTGGCCACCATTGTCTCCCATTTTAAAATATAATTACGGTTGTACACCTCATGAAAATGAATCGTCGAAAAGAAACTTTTCTTCGCTGTTTACGCTTTTTTCTTATAACCTAATAGTACTTGACTTTTCTTAGAGTACTGAGTGCTTTAATTCGTCAATACATACAACCAGTACACATGAAGTATTCAGTTACATAGTGAAAGTACTACAGTCGTTATTAGAACAGACAAGCTATCTTGTTATCCGTGAGCTCAAGAATTATGCATGTAGTGGTATTATGACTTTGGTGGACAATTTTGATTTGCGTATTCATGGCTTAATTTTCTGAGGTCAAACAAAAAGTCAGATTTGTTCATTTATGGCCTTAATTTCTAAGGGCTTGTGGATAAGGTATGCTACATATTTTGCTTAATGATAGTTGCCTCTGTTTCTGTCGTACTGGTCGTCGTTTTTGCAGTCTGAATTTTGTGTCAATCTCAATGTGGGAGATTATTTCAAGTGATCAATTGCTTAGACTGTCATAACAGTAGTGAATAATGGATTGGATCGCTACAGATCTGTACGCATTGACATACCTGAGACAATCATGTGTGATTCTGATTACTGCAGAGTTTTACTTTTTAGCTGATCGTCAAGAATTTGATTGTTCCCACAATGACACAGAGAATAATTAAGTGGGTTTCATAACATTAGTGCAAACACCAATTGACACTTCAACTTCTAGATAATATTCAACGTGAATCAGTGGGATGTAGAATCATTCGCGGGAAACTGAAGCATATATTTTGAATATATTCATCAATTTTCAAGTATTAGTTTATAGTGATTTGATTTGTTGCAAGTTTGACAACGGAATAATATCAGTTAGAGAACCACTGAAAACCAACGGGGATTACTGGACAGCTAGGTGTTTCGTCCTAGTTTGGGACTAATCGCCCACCTCACTGACGTTTAAACCCAGGTCCTTCTGGTTACAAGGTGAGGCCTTAAAAAATAATCTAATGTTTATTGTTGTCCGTCTATAGGACTTAGTTGTCTAGAGTTCTAGCGATGTGTCGTGACTAATAGTATCCACCATGTCAGGCGTGAGGACTGGTGGTTGTGCCGAAATCACTAATAGGTGAAAGTTAGAATTCATGAGATACTAAGTCGGGTCCCAGTGGCTAAATGGTTTATGAGCTCACCCTGTACATGGAAGGTCCTGAGCTTGAGCCCTGGAGGTGGATGTGTGCTGTCTATCAGTCCCAAACTAGGATCTGGAGTAATGCTAATCAGTAGTTCCCTAACTGATATCAATCCGTGATCAAACTTAAAACATTCACTGGTATTCTTTCTTCACAAAGGAAATGGTAAACATCTTCCCCAAAGTTATTCATGGATCCCCTTATCCTGAATAACATCAAGAAAGCACGCGATTTCGAAATTCATATACGGTTTACTCAAATCACTTGTTATTAGTGTTTATTTTTGCTGCTTTATATGTGTATGCAACACTCTGAGTTAGTATCACATTGATCGAGTGATCACAATAATACCTCACAACAGCTCCATTTTGGTGTCATTAAAGCCGCTACCTTTTGCTTTGATTTTCAGAGAAAATTTAGACAGTGTCGAGTTCATGCCTTTTGACCACTGACAGACGCATATACACGATTCGAATTGTATCTCGTTCGGCAGAGGCTGTTGACAAGAAATGTACACAGATGTAAAATCTGTATCTTCTGCCAGAGACGTTGTGGTAGATTTTATGTCATTCCTTTCTTCCTACTAACTTTTTCAACTCTTTTAACGACTCGTTTGAAGAAATACTAAAATCTCCATGTAAACTTCTGTATACATGCTTGCTGTGCTCGACCTTTTTATCTTACCTCTTGTATGAAGTGTATTCTTTCGCATCAAATTTAACGTGTTAGTCATATCACGTGATCGCTACTGTACTCACAGCTAAACGAAGGAAAAGAGATCCAGGAGTACGAACGCACCAATGACCTTGAATGCATACTATCCATTGAATAATGGAAACTATCATGATCATAGCACCCCTGTGAACTCTGTGCATGAAATGAGTTGCACATTTCCTTCCGATCTCTTTTTTAAGTAATGCTTGGATAATGGTTGATAACACATTAGGGTTACGGTTAAGATCAGAGTAATGGTTAGGATTAGTGTTACGGTTCGAGTTAGGATCAGGGTAAGAATTACAGGGCTTAATGTTACAGCTATCATTTTTCTTATTATTTTCCTAGTAAACAGGTTTAAGATGTTCACAATTATCATATGTATTTCTCCAATAAATAAACGCCATTTTCATGTAAAACGTATTCTGGTTTTTATGATTGGCCACTTCAAGATCAATCGTGCGTTAGCATTCTTTGAATCACGACTCTTTAACTTTACCCTACTCATTTGTTTATTGTTCTCATATTTTTACAATTCTACTGGCTGAAGTAAAGATATTTGGCCTTACTTGATAGTAAATGATTTCATCTATCTCAGTTGTACTATGTACTAAACGTTGTCGCCATCAAGTCAGACTTTAGACGGGTTTTTTAAATTCTTCTACATTCCGAGTGGTACATAGGGCTTCAAGCCGCAAAGTTTCATTAGCATCCGTGTTGTGCTTTTACAAGGTAGGGTTGTAAGCTTTGGTCCTGACCCTTCCTCAATTCCGAATTTACTGTTGATCAGTAAACTAAGCGATGTCGAGGAAGAGTATCAACCGGGACTTCCTACATCTTTACACCAAAACGTCTGCTGTGTACTGAAGACTAGGAACCTTCATTCTATTTTCAGTAATTGAATTTTAACTGTAATATTAACAAAATCTAATAGGAAATATTGTGTGGCTTTTGTAAATTCAGTAAACGATTTTATGAAGGCCAGATCTGCCTCATTTTGATTATTTTCCAAGTCAGAATAATAAGCCAAAGAGTGAATCGTTGATTTAACTGTCCCACTGTCAGACTGTGTGTTAGCAGGCTGATCTCCTTCCCAGTTGGTAGAACCACGCAGAGTTCAGGCCTATGTCAAATATGTATGTGCTGTTTCACCAAAAATCATTTTATCATAATGCATCGCTAACTTACTGTTACAGACATAAGAATAAGATTAAGTGGATAAGACGTTTGCGCTTTTTTGACCAGTATTATAATCAGTGTCAAAAGTACTGAAACAAATCTGAAATAAATAAGAAGAAATGATGTCAGTGTGTAGCGTTCTTTATATTAATTATTGATTAAAACACACCAGCGTGATTCAACAATATCCTACGAATAAATATGTAGTTTAGTTTGATGTTAAAGCGCGCTATACATGAAGGGCATTTCATACAGTACAGTGAACATTTGGGAACAATTATTCTTCTGATGTGCAACTCATGTAATACAAATCAGTTCTCTCTCACTACATTAAATGCTGGCTAAAATAGGAATAGAATAGAATATTTCCAACAGGTTGCATACCTCCATCAACAACTGTCTTCGCTGGATCTATACTGAAGATCAGATGGCCGGGCTGGAAGGAATCACCAACAAGAAACTATGTGAACAAACAAAACAAGAACCAATCGCCAACCAACAAATATGCAGGAGAAAGTGGATTGAGATGGGTTGGACACTCGGGGCTGAGGAGGCCGCTGGGTGACCACGCGTGCGCGTCAGGCCATCGCTCGAGTGGAACCCGAAAGGGACGCGGCGAGTGGGACGTCGGTGCAAGGGTGACAGGAAGGGGATCGTGTGAAGACGAGTTGAAAAAGTATGGACTGACATGGATGCAGGTGAAAAGTACAGCAAAAGGAAGACAGAAGCAAGTGGAGACGTGCAGTTGAAGCCCTATAATAATAATAATAAAGCAGGAAAACTCAGCAAATCCTTCGGAGTGAAGACAGGAGTCAAACAGGGCTGCCGTCTACTATCACCGATGATATTCCTAACTGTAGTGGATTGGATTATGTGGAAGACTCTGAGGAGCAATAAGATAGGAATAGGTTGGATGAATAAGAAGACTGTAGAAAATCTGAACTTCGAAGATGACTTAAGTCAAGTGTCACACAAACTCGATGACGTACAGGTGAGAACCACCAAGTTGTCATAAGAAACAACAAAGACAGAAATTCATGTAAACATAGAAAAGACTCAGGTGATGAAGACAACCAACCAACCAACTACACCCAGCACCAACTATCAACGAAATAAATTTGAAAGATGTCACTTCCTTCACTTATCTAGTTGGCATCGTTTCCGTTACCGGCAGATGGCAAGGATGCGGTTGTCAAAAGCAGAACCAGAAAGTCAAGACGAACTTCAGTCACTCTGAAATCAGTTTAGAAATCTTCTACACTTATCATAAGCAACCCCCCCCGGATTTTTGCACCAATGTTAAGTCGGTGCTACTTCTATATGGGTGAAAGTCTTAATGGACGTTTCATCAGAAGTATTTCCAATAGCCAGCTGCAGACTGTCATCAACAGCCGCCTTCACTGTCTACATACTGAAGATTAGATGACCAGCTAAAAACAATTAGCAACAGGAAACTTTGGAAACGAACCAATCACGAACCCATCATTCAACAAATATGGCGAAGAAAGTGGAGGTGGAGAGCACACGTTGAAAAGACTGTCGAGTGACATCGCACACAATGCATGCCATCTCTCGAGTAGAACTCGAGTTGGAAACGGTGAGTTGAGCTGTATTCTTTGGATGGCTTGGAGGAAATAGTGTGAATAGCAGATGTGAACCTATGGGAAATGGTAAGGCAAGCTGAAGAGGATTGTAGAGAACACGAATAAATGAAGATGTGCTGTCGAAGCCCTGTTTTCCATTCGGAACCCAGAAGAATGATAATGATAATAATAAAATGGGAAAGATTCTTATCACCATCATTTGTAGAATCACTGTATATCACCAGCTGGATCTTTTTTCAAATTCAAGGCAGTAAATAGCAGTCGGTGATTCACTAGGTGTCAGTAATCTCGATGCACAGAGGTACTCCAGTATTTTCATGAAAAATCCTTGCAGACATCACCTTTGATTGACATAGATACACTAAAAGTATCAAAGATGACCTTATTTAAAGTTGAATACTTCTCCCTATGTTTGATGATTACTAGTAGTGGAATTGTGGATGCACATTTCGTCCTATTTAAGACTCGCCAGCTAGATATACCTGCGTTCCCCAGTGAGTGATCATGTTCCCACTGAGACTCGAACTGTGAAACTCTGCGTTTTACACACTTAAGTATTATCTACAGAATCGGTCAACTGGAAATGTAAATTAACCTAAAGGTAAGTGAATATGTCTCCCTTCAGCTGATTCTTTTACGGATACTTTCCTTGTCAATTTTGATTTTGAAGTAGTTTTCACCGATTTCACGCTGAAACGATGATTAAAATGAGCACTGATTCACTTGTCTAAGTTGTTCTAACAATATGATCTATCTTTGTTTGTGTTAGGAATCAGTACATTTATGAGCTTCTTTTCAGTGTACTTATAATCTGCATGTTAACAGTTAAAATGAATAATTCCGTGTGCATATTTAAATGGAATGTTTCTGGTATTCAACATAGAATATCTTTCAGTTGACTATGCTGCCTCATGGCGGTAAAATACCGCCCAATTTAGCTATTTATCTACCGGAGAAAGCATTATTATCATGATTATTTGACATAAGGACATGAACCTAGCAAGCTTGCTGTTCACTTTCAGTATTAGTTTCATTCAAATAACTTCAATCTAAACGTTAACTATAACTCAGGTATTCAATGATATTAGACGGTTGGAGGCGATCGGAGGAAGCCTCACCTGACCCAGGTTTCGTGCTAGTTGCCACTCGTCGGCAAGGCATATCTGCAACCTTGAAAGAAACTCATATCCCCTCTGAGATTTGAACCCGTGTCACCCAGTGAGTACTGCAATCAAGACGTTACCATTGAGCTATTCGGGCTCACGATTAACCTCCTGTAGGACCTAGTGAGCATTTTGATTGGACACTAGTGACTAATGTGACATGTCTAGTCCTTCCTTTGGTGCACACTGAATTCTATCAACCAATTTCAACTAGCGCGAAACCTCAGTCGAGGATTCCTCCTGATTGCCTCCAACCATCTAATATCATCAAATCAATGTGCACTGTGATGGTGAGCTGCCTAGAATGATAGTCA